GGGGAGTTGTCCCTGTGTGTTTCTCACTGTAAACCCATCTTATTATCGGTTCTCCCACCTGGTCTCTAAGACCGATATATTTCAGTCCTTGAAGGTCCTGGAAAATTAAATAACACATAACTCCCATCTGTTGCAGTGCACAAATATAAAACTTTCTGCAAAAGCCTGGTTGTGCGGAGATGAGATGTCAGATTCCAAACAAGGCGGCTTTATGGTAGACATAGAAGGAGTGTTACAAATTGGTGTCTTTTTTTATGGTGGTTTTGGTTCTGCGAGGCGCAAAGCATCAGTGTTTGGTCTCGGCAGAACCACATCCATTCCTAATTCATAACTCTACACAGTTCGGAGTGTTTGAAGAGTTTGATCACCATTTTCCTACCTGTGTGAATTACTAAAGATGCAGTGGCCGCCCCTTTCATCCAGTTGGACACGCTGTGTGGGTGGCAGCTCCATCGCGATCTCTAAGGTATAAAATCGGAGACCTGCAGTGAGATTTTGGTCCTATCTGACGGGTTCCATCTATGTTTGGGAGGGAGATGGGGGTGTGATCTGCTTATTCCATCCAACAGCCTGGAAGTTGTGAGTGGTGGCAACAAAGATATTATGTGTGCATGCTGTTTTCTATAGTTGTCTCCTGTGTCCGGATTGGGGAATTTTGGGTTCTGGTTTGAATTTTGACAGCCGGTTATTTTATGAGGACGAGCGATGGACGATATCTTGTGCATCACCCAGCCGTCCTTGTCTCTGCACCCTCTGTACCCCAATCCTTGACACAGGGGTTCCAGCCCCCCATACTTCATTTCTGTTGAATTTCTCCTCACTTCCTGTCTAGAAAACATCTGCAGGATAGGAAGTGAGGGGAAATCTCTCTGACAGAGCCCCGGGTAGCAGTTCTAGCCTTCCTCCACTCCATCCAAAACGAAGAAGATGTAACGGGGGTCGTGGTGGCTGCTGTGGGGTATGTCACTTTAGTGGGCCATGCTGATAACAGTGTTGGCTCACCTTGAGTAATGGCTGTTCATACTCATATAGTACTCATGTCCTAATGTGGACTACAAGAAAGCCCCATGCAAGCCATAAAATAATACAGCGCTCAGAGCAATCAAATGATTAGATCACCGTCCTCCAAATCTCCCAATCCTGCCAAATGACGGCAATCAAGAACAGATTGGTGTGTTATCAGTGGACTTCCTGGTGGGCGAACGTTTGGCAATAGAACCGATTTCTGTATAATTGGAATATAATGATTATTGTTTTGTGTAATACAGGGCCTGGCAGAGCGCTCCGATCACACGATGGGTGAGGTGAGGAAGCGAAAAGAGGTCAAGGATGACGGGGCTGATAGCCAATCAGTGGCAAGCAAGGAGTCGGCAGCCATGCAGCTAAAGAAACAGGTGAGTTCTGAATGTCAGTGATGTCACCGGTCTCTAGTGAAAGGATAGGCTGCATTCTCAGTGATGTCACCAGTCTCTAGTGATTGGATAGGCTGCATTCTCAGTGATGTCACCGGTCTCTAGTGAAGGGATAGGCTGCATTCTCAGTGATGTCACCGGTCTCTAGTGAATGAATAGGCTGCATTCTCAGTGATGTCACCGGTCTCTAGTGAATGGATAGGCTGCATTCTCAGTGATGTCACCGGTCTCTAGTGATTGGATAGGCTGCATTCTCAGTGATGTCACCGGTCTCTAGTGAAGGGATAGGCTGCATTCTCAGTGATGTCACCGGTCTCTAGTGAATGGATAGGCTGCACTCTCAGTGATGTCACCGCTCTCTAGTGATTGGATAGGCTGCACTCTCAGTGATGTCACCGCTCTCGAGTGAATGGATAGGCTGCATTGACGCCTGCTGGTGGCCATCTTGGTGATTAACGCCGGCAGAGAGAGGAGTGGACGTTCACCCGGCGTGATGAGGTATGCTGCCGGGTCCCCTTTACTTCGTGACCGAGTGCCCGACTTTTCATAGGGGGTGATACCAAAATGACTGTCAGTGATTTTGGTGTCACCCCTGAAATGGTGTCACTCGGCTGCGGGCCACACCCCCGCACACCACCCTTCTGACGCCTCTGGTAGAGCTGCTCGTTGTTTCTAAACTGCTACAAGGTGGCTGTGAATTGTTTTTTTTTGCACTTATTGAGCAGATATAAAAACACTTCCAATATATTTCACAGACCACAAGCGAGGGAACGAGAGAAGTTCATTGTTCAGGTTTCCTTACACTTTAATCAAGGTACCGCAAATATTGTCCTTGTGTTGGGGACATTAGAGTGTAAGCTCCTAGCTCGAGCCTTGCAAGGATTTGTAATCTTTTCTAGATTATTTTTTTTAATTCAAAACACCTCTGCTGCCAGACAATACAGACAGAAGGGTGACAACACTTATTCTGCAGGAGTCATGAAAAACAGTGGTGTCACCCTGCTGCCCACAACCTGATTGGATAAGGTGGAGGTACAACACTGAATCAGACCTGGCGCTCTCCAATCAGCAGGAACATGAGCTTTGCGGATTGCTGAGCTATAGGTCTGACTCAGCAGGGGGAATGTGGGGCCTTTGCAGAGAGACCACTGCTTCCACACAGAGCAAGGGTCCTTCTCTGCAGTATGCTGGCAGGGGACAGGCTTTTCTACTCAGGCTGTGGCTGCTTTCCAAAGAGAACCAACTAAGACTTTGCACGCCTTTAGTTTTGATGGAATGCATTTAGCCAAATTACAGTAAAAGTTCAATGGGGCTTTAACCTTCACTTGTTGTAGAACTTGCAATGAGTTTGGTTGTGCAGTGGCACAGGGGAGCACTGCTCATGTAATAGAAATTTGATTTTGCCCCAATTAAAGTGATTTGGTACGGAGCTGGGTGGGGAGGAACTATTTTGAGCACAAGGGGCCAATCCTTATGCCCGACTGGCACAAAGACTCCATAAGAGGTGCCTGTGCGGTGGTCTAGGGCACAGGCGGCCCATGTGCGGTGGTCTAGGGCACAGGCGGCCCATGTGCGGTGGTCTAGGGCACAGGCGGCCCATGTGCGGTGGTCTAGGGCACAGGCGGCCCATGTGCGGTGGTCTAGGGTACAGGTGGCCCAGGGTACAAGTGGCCCATGTAAGGGAATGCAGGTAGCAGCTTGAATTCGGCTGTCTGGGATGCCTTTGCTGAATGAGCCGCCGTCCTATTGTGAGGCAGATGACTCTGTGCTAGATACCCCTGCAGGAGGAGGAGCTCTGGCGGCCAATAGACCAAGGTCACCCGAGGAGAAGGAGAGAGGCTCCCGTAACCACAAATCAAGGCCGAGCCCGTCACTATGTTACCTAAGCTCCGCTCCATTGTATAACATTTCTGCACAGCAAGTTGACCTTTAAGTTTTATTGCCGCATTCCTCCGCGAGTCAAGGTCTTATATACATTATTGCAGTTGTTTCATAACAGTATATACACAGCTTCTGTGTCCATTACTAAGACGGTGAGACAGAGTACGTGTCGAACTTCGCAAATATCATTTCATGCTATAGAGCAAGGGGTGGGGAACCTCCGGCCCTCCAGCTGCGGTAAAACTACAAATCCCATTAGTTATTTTCGGTAATCCAGACTTCCCTCCACGAGTGTCCTGGTCCAGGTCCTTGGAGTGGTGTTCCTCAGAGCCATCTCCTATCCTGCAAGCTCTCAACTGGACTCCATCCATTGGGGTTGTTGCTCCTCATGCTGGTAGTTGGCTCCCGTATGTGAGCACTTTTATGTGAATCTGAGTTCCCTTTGGACAGTTATCTTGGGACCTGACGCCATTGGAGGAACTATGCACAATGAACTCGGATTGCGTTCATGTTGTGTCACTCAGTGTGGCGTAACAATAGCCATAGTGGCCCATGTGGCTGCTATGGGGCCTGGGGGTGGAAGGGGTTCCCGCCGGGTGAACGTCCCCTCCACCAAGATGGCCGCCGGCAGGTTGTCAAAAAGACCACCGCGCTTGCGCGAAAACACCCAGCCTCGGGACGCCACTCTTGGGAGCCCCATCAAAATTTTGCTATCGGGCCCCATGATCTGTGGTTACGCCCCTGGTGTCACTGCTATATATCCTTCTTCTGATCCATGCCTTTCCTAGCCGCCTGTTCTATGCCAGGGAGTGGGAGCGAGAATTGGGGGTGCCCGGTTCCGGAAGTAGACTTAGTTTTGGCTTTTAAGACTAAAATTTCGAGCCAAATACAGGAGAGGAATTTCAAGATACTGACGAGTTGGTACAGATGGCCCCCCGTCTCCATGGGTATGTAATTTGGATGTTTCTACGCTACAAATAAAGTACCGGATGGACCCCCTTGCAAATGCCGGCTTTTTACCTATTGCACAGCTACCTTGTGTCCTCTGCACACTTCCTGTCTTATCTCATAGAAGCCTTTCTAGTTCTTATCTTAAACTACAGAATAATTAACCTTTTATGTCGTAGAGATCTGAGAGTGGGAGCGGTCGAGTTGTTTGCAAAAGACAACTGGGCAGGGCTGACACCACTTTGTCCACAGAAACACTGTGGGAAACAAGGGAAAACATGCGGGGAAAGAGGTATAACGCGGGAAAACATACGGGGAAAGAGGTATAACACGGGAAAACATACGGGGAAGGTTTAACATGGGAAAACATACGGGGAAGGTTTAACATGGGAAAACATACGGGGAAGGTTTAACATGGGAAAACATACGGGGAAGGTTTAACATGGGAAAACATACGGGAAAGGTTTAACATGGGAAAACATACGGGAAAGGTATAACATGGGAAAACATACGGGAAAGGTATCACATGGGAAAACATACGGGGAAAGCTATAACATGGGAAAACATACAGGAAAGGTATAACATGGGAAAACATACGGGGAAAGGTATAATACGGCAAAACATACAGGGAAGGTAACACAGGAAAACATACAGGGAAGGTAACACAGGAAAACATACAGGGAAGGTATAACATGGGAAAACATACAGGGAAGGTATAACATGGGAAAACATACAGGGAAGGTATAACATGGGAAAACATACGGGGAAAGGTATAATACGGCAAAACATACAGGGAAGGTATAACACGGGAAAACATACAGGGAAGGTATAACATGGGAAAACATACAGGGAAGGTATAACACGGGAAAACATACAGGGAAGGTATAACACGGGAAAACATACAGGGAAGGTATAACATGGGAAAACATACAGGGAAGGTATAACACGGGAAAACATACAGGGAAGGTATAACACGGGAAAACATACAGGGAAGGTATAACATGGGAAAACATACAGGGAAGGTATAACATGGGAAAACATACAGGGAAGGTATAACACGGGAAAACATACAGGGAAGGTATAACACGGGAAAACATACAGGGAAGGTATAACACGGGAAAACATACAGGGAAGGTATAACACGGGAAAACATACAGGGAAGGTATAACATGGGAAAACATACAGGGAAGGTATAACATGGGAAAACATACAGGGAAGGTATAACACGGGAAAACATACAGGGAAGGTATAACACAGGAAAACATACAGGGAAGGTATAACACAGGAAAACATACAGGGAAGGTATAACATGGGAAAACATACAGGGAAGGTATAACATGGGAAAACATACAGGGAAGGTACAGGTGAAACTCGGAAAATTAGAATATCGTGCAAAAGTTAATTTATTTCACTAATGCAACTTAGCCGTCTACCAGGAGATTTTGGAGCACTTCATGCTTTCTTCCGCAGACGAGCTCTATGGGGATGCTGACTTCATTTTCCAGCAGGACTTGGCACCTGCCCACACTGCCAAAAAATTTCTGAGATTGTGGATATGGTTTTTCATGAGCTGTAAGCCATAATCATCACAATGATGACACATCACGGTTTGAACTATCTTGCTTTGCATGTAATGAGTCTCTCTCATGTATTAGTTTCACCTTTTAAGTTGCATTAGTGAAATAAATGAACTTTTGCACGATATTCTAATTTTTCGAGTTTCACCTGTATAACATGGGAAAACATAGAGGAAAGGTATGATCCGGCAAAATATAAGGTAAAGGTATAACACGGGAAAGGTATAACACGGGAAAGGTATAATACGGGAAAGGTATTACAGGGGAAAACATACAGAAAAGGTATAATACGGGAAAGGTATTACAGGGGAAAACATACGGGAAAGGTATTACAGGGGAAAACATACAGAAAAGGTATAATACGGGAAATGTATTACAGGGGAATGGTATAACACAGGAAAACATACAGGAAAGGTATAACACGGGAAAACATACAGAAAAGGTATAACATGGGAAAGGTATAACACAGGAAAACATACGGGAAAGGTATAACACGGGAAAACATACGGGAATGGTATAACGTGTATTGCAAAGATGTAATGCATTTTTTTTATTTTGCTTTGAAATGCGCTTTAA